CACCCCCCCACATACACACACACCCAGTGCACGAATTTCGTGCACCGGGCCCCTAGTTTATATATAAAAGGCTAAGCAATCGGCTGACAGGCTGACCAGCTGGTAGGTGTGATACGCACTGACCACCAGGGAGCAGATGCTCAACGCAGGAGCTGCCGAGCTGCAGTGACTTGGCAGCGGTGGTTCTCCGGTGACCCACTCCAGAACCAGAGAGGAGGGACCCCTTGGGGCATGTCAGAGAGCTGGTTTTGGCCGAATTCCCACAGGCCAGGTGGAGGAACCCCATCTGCCAGAGGGACCCTGCTCACTCCGCAGATGCCCTTTGAGCTGTGGCACCACCCCAGGTGCGGCCAGCTGGGGAGGGACCACAGGAGGTTGGCTCCAGGGCGTGTCTGGCCCTTCTCACCCTGCCGCCGGCCACCTTCTAATTAATTTCCTTTCAATGTGCATGAATCTATGCACCGGGTCATTAGTATACATATAAAAGGCCCCATGAGAGATTCAGGTTCTGGTGTCATCAGATTCCACAGCTCTGAATCATACACCCAAGGCAGGTAGAAGCACTGGTCCAGCCTCACCCTAATCAGGTAGAAGCACTAGCCCAACCTCACTCCCAACTTCTTCAGGAATGACACCATATATAACTATTTTCACTCCTCAAACCTATAGTCTGAGTATTGGAAACCTGGAACTAGGAAAAGCCTCTTAATTTCTTAATTTAATTGATATGCATATGTTGTACCTAACGCTCTCATTTTTTTAAAAAAAATATGTTTTATTAATTTTTTACAGAGAGGAAGGGAGAGAGATAGAGAGTTAGAAACATCAATGAGAGAGAAACATCTACCAGCTGCCTCCTGCACACCTCCCACTGGGGATGTGCCCGCAACCAGGGTACATGCCCTTGACCAGAATCGAACCAGGGACCTTTCAGTCCATAGGCCGATGCTGTATCCACTGAGCCAAACCGGTTTTGGCCCTAACGTTCTCATCATTCCCAGTTCTTTCTTTTTGGAGTTGTGTGCCTCTGACTGGTCAAATTGTAATGGGCTCTGGGTTCATGAGAGTAGATGATCAAGAAGAAAATGCAGAAATGTAAACAGAAAGCTTCTGGTTACATGATTAACCTGATGACTTGTTTATGGAAGTTCAAAAATACATTATAAGCATTTAAGGATTGGTTCAAAACCTTGCCTTGACTCTTGGGATAGTTCCATAAACTGTTAGTTATTGATAAGATTCGCTAGGCACTTACTAAATGCCACACGTTGTGCTGACAACTTAAAAGGCATTATTAGTTCATTTAATGCAACATGCCTATAAAGTGTATTCCTTTTACATTTATCCCCCTTTGCAGATAAGAAAAATGAGATTCAAACAGCTAGTAAATGACGCTGGGATTTAAATCCAGACCTGACCTTGCTCCCTACCCTCTCAAGACCTTGCTTTTCAACCACTTAATGGTTAGGTTAGCCTCCCTAAACCAGAGGAAATAACCTCTGAGGGATATAAAAGTACTCAACCAAGAAACTACCATACAGGAAAGACAGCCTCTTTGGAGCAAGAAGCCCCACCCTGGGCACACACACCCAAATCCACCCAAAGGGCCCTTAACCCCCTTAAAGGAGGTCTGCACTGCACAGCAGGGAGACCCAGCTCTTGGGATAATCCCTTAAATCATAAGGAACCCCTCTCCCATTCCTGAGAAACCTCTCCCGATATTTAAAAGGACAGGCTACATAGTTTGCGGGTCCCAGTGCAAAAATAAAATGTGGGATCTCTTGTTTAGAAAATAATAACAATTTCAAGAATGAGAGAGTAGAGCATTAAATCAAGTCCAGGGGTTCCCTCTTCTGTGAATGCATTGGCCATTTGCCTAGGTTGCCGGCCCTGTTTCAGAGATCCATTCAATGAAGGGATTGGCCACCTCAGTGAGAATCCGTAAGTCCTCCTAACCTAGGGTGGACCCAACTATCCAAGAACAAATCTTGGAACAGCCTCCGTAAATTTGGAATCACTTCCTTTGGCTTGGACAGAAACTCCCTTCGCACCGGTCTAGCTGCTGGGTGGTTCTCCATAGCGCGGCCCAGCTCCACCTTCGGGGTGTGTGGGCCTCAACGCGTGCAGCCAGCCCATTGCCGGGGCAACAGACGCCACGAGCAGTGCATTGTGGTCTGCAACAAAATGCTGGAGAAAGATCCTGAGGGAACGATGGAGCCCATGGACCAATGGGAGAGCCTTGCGGGCTGCGGAAAGCCAATAGGAATGTTTGGGGGCGGGGTCTTCAGAGCAGGGCGGAGCCTAGGCTCTAGGCGGCGGCGGCAGCTGGTGTGGGGATGCTTAGATGCGCCACGGCTTCAGTAGCGACGGCCTCTCTAGCTGGGTCTGAGCCTCGCCAGCCCCTCCCCCAGGAGACTGTTGCAGTCGGCCAGCCGCTGCTCCACTGTGAGAGGCTCAGGGTCCCCGGGGGGGCTTCGCTGCCCGGTTTTGTACCCCGCCGGAGTTCTCCCGTGGTTGGATCGGCGTGGCCCGCCCTCCCTGAGAAGTGGGGCGGGGGGCGTCATCCGGGATGGCGTGGGGCGCGCGGAGCGGGCGGGGGAGCTGGCGCATGGCAGGCGCAGTCCACACCCCCCGCCCCCCATCTCCTCACCCCTTGCTTGGGCCTCCTTCCTCAGGTAACCATGTGCGACCGAAAGGCGGTGATCAAAAATGCCGATATGTCGGAGGAGATGCAACAGGACTCCGTGGAATGTGCTACTCAGGCGTTGGAGAAATATAACATAGAAAAGGACATTGCGGCCCATATTAAGAAGGTGAGGCTGGGGCGCGGGGCGGGGGCTCGGGCTGATCGCGCGCAGCTGGCTGGAGTCACAACTTCTGGTCCGGGTCAGGCGTCCCCAGAGAGCCTGGCAGAGATCCCTGAGGGCACGCGGGGCAGCTTGGGTGTAGAGTCTTCCAGAAAGAACGCAAGCGAATTTTGCGCTCCTCTTGGAAAGACCAGAACCCCGGCGCCTCAAGTTTTTTTATTACCCAGCTCCGCGGGGGAAAGCGCCACCTAGCAACGGTTTCTAAGACCAGGGAGCAGCGGGTCCCCCCTTCTGCACGATTTCTGCGCGGAAGATCCATCTGGGTGCTCGGGAGGGGGAGCTGCGTGGGTGTGCCCAGCCAGCCGGAGGGAGATCTTGCCAGCCTTCCCGTGGGGAGTTGAGTCGGCAGATGAAAGTGGGTGGGAGTGGTGGTTGGGGGGCTGGGGTGGGCGCTTGGCAAAGGACGGGCTGTAGAAAGCTGCTGGCAGAACTGCCAACGTCCCCAGCTCTGGTTTCTGGAAGGGAAGGAAACGGGCAACCTAAGCTGTGACAGGGTTCCAGTCGGGAATAGGAAGGTAAGACTTGAGATGGAATAGAAATAAAGACCATTTTTTGACAAACGCAGTAAGAATGTTATTCTCCTCAATCTAAAAGATGTTCGTGCTGCACCCAAGATAAGAGTAGCCAAACCACAGACTTGTAATAATTTTGGAGATAAGGGTTAATTTTGGCGCCTGTTTACAGTCACCTGGTGAAGAAATTAACAGGCATTCTAGTTAGTTCCCAAAGCTCTTGGGGTAGGGAAAATAGGGGAACGGTGTCCCTGCAACTTGCTATCCTGTGGGCCAGGTGCTACATCAGCAGCAAGATAGACGTGAAAAGGAGGGCTCTTGAAATTACAGTGAAGGATAAAACTTGACCAGGTGGTTGTCATGTTCTGTTTCCAGCGTTCTTTCTATAGGAGTAGTAGCCAATGTCTAGTCTCTTTAAATTAAAATGTTGATCCACAGTGGTGCAAATTGAGACTTTCTCCTTTTGGAAGTCTTTTCTTATCAGGGATACTGGAGTGCAGTTAAGGAAATGAATTACAATGGGGTATTTTGAGCTAAACATTTACCATTTTCTTCACATTTGGGGGTGCATGACAAGGATTGTTTATTTCTGTGTACAAATAAGGACAAGGTAAACTGGAACTGTTGATGTTACCGGCTGTCAGTGGATATTTTGGAAGTTCATTTGCCGTAACAAATGCTCAGTCTTTGAGGCTGCCCTTTCTGCCTTTGACATCCCAGCCCCCTTTGCCAGCTTAGCGCAGATTGCAAGTATGTTTGCATTAATGCACCACGTAGGCGACTTGGAACTGGGAAACATTCTTTCATTCTAAGAATTTGCAGATGCTAACGTTCCTCCTCTCTGCCCAGCAGGCTCTGACCTCTGATTTAGCACTAAAATTCTAGTATTCTTTTTCTCCACCGCCCCCTTCCCCAGGAGTTTGACAAGAAGTACAACCCCACCTGGCACTGCATCGTGGGGAGGAACTTCGGTAGTTACGTGACACATGAAACCAAACACTTCATCTACTTCTACCTGGGCCAGGTGGCCATTCTTCTGTTCAAATCGGGTTAAAAGCATGGACTGTACTACACACCCAGTGATCCATCCAAAAATAAGGATTGCAGCCTAAATTCCAAATACCAGAGACTGAAATCTTCAGCCTTGCCTAAAGGAACACCTTAATTTTGAACCTTTATTGTGTTGTTTTGTACAGGGTATTCGCTGTACTCATTTGTTGTGGTTATAAAACAATTAGCAAAGCAGCTTACATTTGTATTTATTTTCTATTCCATACCTCTCTGCCCCATGTTTTTTCTCCTCAAAATCCATTCCTTTCCCAAAATAAAATTTGCCGGAGAACTGTGTGTGGTAATTTGTTCAACTAATCTAGGATTGAAGGTGGCCCTTAGCCATCTAGGTCATTGGGGGTGAGTCCTAGAAGTAAGTTTCTGTGGAATATAGCAGACTAGCCTATTCAGTTTATGTTTTATTTTTAATGTTTTTATTGATCTCAGAGAGGAAGGGAGAGAGAGAAACATCAATGAGGAGGGAATCATTGATCGGCTGCCTCCTGCACACCCCACACGGGATCGGGCTCAAAACCTGGGCATGTACCCTTGACCAGAATCAAACCCAAGACCCTTCAGTCCGCAGGCTGACGCTCTATCCACTGAGCCAAACCAGCCAGGGCTATCCTATTCAGTTTAATTCTCATGCATCTGCAACTATTATGCATGATAGAATACTCAGAAGTGCATGTCAAAACTTTTGGGTTAAGTCTTATTCCTAACCTGGTAAATATTGTGTTTAGGTGCTCATTTTGTTAAGCCCAGGGTTGTGGGCTTAATCCCCAGTGCGGGGCCTGTAGAATGCAGCCGAACAGTGATTCTCATCTTTGATGTTTCTATCTCTCTATGCCTCTCCCTTCCTCTCTGGGGGGAAAAAAGGTTTTGCTATTGGTGGTGATAATGCAGTAGATCTCCTTTATATAAGCTTTCTATGGCTGTAAAATGTGAAAATAAGCTGATAGCCCTGCGGATTGAAGGGTCCCAGGTTCGATTCTGACCAAGGGCATGTGACTTGGTTGCGGGCATTTCCCCAGTGGGGGTTGTGCAGGAGGCAGCTGATCGATGTTTCTCTTTCATTGATGTTTCTGATTCTCTATCCTCCCTTCCTCTCTGTAAAAAATTAATAAAATATTTTTTTAAAAAAAATAAGATACAGGCTAATGAGAAATTTGGTCTCTGGGCTATTCTCCCTCCCTGCCAGGCCCCAAAAGGATACTGTAAAGATTAATGCCCTGCCGAAATCGGTTTGGCTCAGTGGATAGAGCGTCGGCCTGTGGACTGAAAGGTCTCAGATTCGATTCCGGTCAAGGGCATGTACCTGGGTTGCGGGCACATCCCCAGGAGGAGATGTGCAGGAGGCAGCTGATTGATGTTTCTCTCTCATCGATGTTTCTAACTCTATCTCTCTCTCTCCCTTCCTCTCTGTAAAAAGTCAATAAAATATATTAAAAAAAAAAAGATTAATGCCCTGACCAGTTTGGCTCAATGGATAGAGCGTAGGCCTGCAGACTGAAGGGTCCTGGGTTCAATTCCGGTCAAGGGCATATGCCTGGGTCACATGCTCATTCCCTACTAGGGAGCATGCAGGAGGTGGCCGATCCATGATTCTCTCATCGATGATGTTTCTATCTCTCTCCCTCCCTCTCCCTTCCTCTCTGAAATCAATAAAAATATATTAAAAGAAAAAGATTAAAGGTGGGCCCTAGCTGGTTTTGCTCAGTGGGTAGAGCGTTCGACTTTGGACTGGAAGATTCCGGGTTCAATTCCGATCAAGGGTGCATGCCTGGGTTGCAGGCTCCATCCCCAGTAGGGGTGTGCAGGAGGCAGTTGATCAATGATTCCCATCATTGATGTTTCTATCTCTCCCTCTTCCTTCCCATCTGAAATCAATCAAAATACATTTTTTAAAAAAGATTAAAGGTGGTTTTAAAAGGGAAAAAGTTTTTAGCAGCAGCCTTCCATGCAGGAATTTAAATGTGTAAGCCTGTTGTGCTGTGCTTGAACTAGCTGTGGTCAGAAACCCAATTAACAAATATGAATTGAAATTTCCATTAAAAGACCCAGTATAGCCTTCATTAAAGGTTTCCTGCCATCAATTTTAGGAAGTCTTCAGTCTTTTTTTCCTCCCCCTATCAAATTGTTTTATTAGGTTAAACAACTTAAAGACTTCAGTTGTTTATTTTTAAAATTTATTAATTTGAGAGAGGCATTGATTTGTTGTTCCACTTATTCATTGGTTGCTTGTTTTATGTGCCCTGAGTGGGGATTGAACCCGCAACCTTGGTGTATTGGGACAGCGCTCTAACTAAGCTGCCCAGCCAGGGCTATAGACTTCAGCTTTGTAAGGAAAGCAAACAGGGCAGCCTTGTCTTATAGGTAGAAAGGAAATACTCCAGAGGCTGGAACAATACGCGTCCATCTTGGGAAGCTGCAAGGAAGGGCAGGACTTTCTAGTTATGCTCAGTGTTCACATGAGGGAAGGCTTTTTGTTTTAGATCTTGGTCTGTGAGATACAATTAGGATTTCTGACAGCCAGGCTATTGCTATAAGAAGGGGGTGATAGATTTTAATTGACAGGTGATGATTCCATCTTAAGAGCAGTATTAGGTTGGTGACATCTTTGGGAAGATTGTTTTTCTTTTTTCATATGTATATTTTTACTGATTTCAGAGAGGAAGGGAGAGGGAGAGAGACACATCAGTAATAAGAGAGAATCATGAATCAACTGCCTCCCGCACCCCCCCGCCCCTTACTGGGGATCGAGCCCACAACCCAGGCATGTGCTCTTCACCGGAATTGAACCTGGGACCCTTCAGTCCATAGGCCGATGCTCTATCCACTGAGCCAAACCAGCCAGGGCAAGATTGTTTTTCTTTACCAGAACTTGGAGTTTTAAAATTCCTAGTGAACTTGAGCTGTGTTAGGACTGAGAACATTTTCAGTCTGTTCATATAAATACAAGCAGCTGGACATTAGGGGTTCTGACTTGATTAGGCCCTTATCTGTTTGCCAGGACTGGCAGTTTTAAACTTATTATTTTTAAAATATATTTTTATTGATTTCAGAGAGGAAGGGAGAGGGAGGGAAAGGGAAGAAATATCAGTGATGAGAGAGAATCGTTGATTGGCTGCTTCCTGCATGCACTGGGGATTGAGCCGGCAACCTGGGCATGTGCCCTGAACAGGAATCGAACCATGACCTCCTGGTTCATAGGTCGATGCTCAACCATTGCTGGCCAGGCTTACCTTATTTTTTTATTAAGATGTGAAGAAACCACATTGCTGTGGACAAAGGACTGCGTTGATGTTTTATGAAGTTCCCTCTAGTGCCTGCTCCTTGTTAATTTCAAAGGCCCATAGGCTCCAGCTTGGGGAGGAGGGGAAGTAAGCTAAAGTTTGTATAAGGTTTAGCATTTTATTAAGTGCTTAGTTGCTGTCTGTGAGATAGCTGCATATAGGTAGCTATATCGGAAAGCTTTTCAGTGACAGGCAAAATCTTCAGTGAAGGTACATAAATGACCCCTACTGTGCTAGGGCAAGAGGCAGCCTGTTCAAATAACCCTGATCTTAGTTATCTACAATTAAACTGCCAGCCAACTCACAGGTTGGTTTCTGCAATTTCTTAGCAAGGCCCCACAAAAACCTTAAGCTTTATCCAGATAAAAAATAGGGCCTCATTTTAACATCAATTACTATATTAAGGAAACAAGAGCTCTGCCCAGCTCTGCCCCCATGTACTGGAGGAGGTTAGGCTAGATAAATACTTTTCAAACTTTTTTTTTTAAATTTTATTGATTTCTTACAGAGAGGAAGAGAGAGAAATAGTCAGAAACATCGATGAGAGAGAAACATCGACCAGCTGCCTCCTGCACACCCTCTACTGGGGATGTGCCTGCAACCAAGGTACATGCCCTTGACCGGAATCGAACCTGGGACCTTTCAGTCCGCAGGCTGACGCTCTGTCCACTGAGCCAAACCAGTCAGGGCTCAAACATTTTTTACTATAAAATCCTTTCTTCAAATATATTCTGACAAAGAAGCTTTCTAAGACATAAAAGCTGGAGTTTGCTGGTATTTATTCTTTCAAGGATTTGTTGTTTTCTTCATGATAGGCACAAGGGAACAATAGTGGCCTTTGGTAGAAGAGTATTGAATGAATGATGGCAAATGTATTTCCCTCAAGAAAAAAATTTACAAATACCATACAAATTGTAAACTCATTTAGAGGTTCAGTACATGATTCTAGTTGTGATCGTTAGCCCTGACGGGTCATGGCTTTGGCCCTTAACCAGTCCTAGGCTGAAAGATTGACTCAGGTCCAGTTAAGAAGCTTTCTAGTTCAAATCATTAGATTCAAATGATCCATTGTCCTGGAAGTCAGAACCAGCAGAGAAACTACAAACACACTCCAAACTGAGCTTCAGTGCTGGCTTAACCACACTGCGCAGCTGAGGAAAAATAGCAGGAACTGAGCAAAAACTACAGGCACAATACCTTGGGGAGAAGGCCTGCAGGAAGCAGTTCCTAGTGAAAGCTGAAATAAAGTGACAGGAATTTGTTTCTTCCACTTTGAGACTGGTCACATCAGAACATGAGTCCAAGGCACATTATCCTTATGAAGAGATGTTCTGTTGCTGGTCACACCAGCCTGATTATCCTCGGGTTGCAGGCTTTTGACAGGATGGGAGTGGTTCATGCTCCAGGATGGTGACGGAGTTACAGTTTGAAGCCAGAGTGAATGGCCACGATGCCTGATGTTAGACTTTCGTAGGTCACTTTCTGAAAACCTGCATCTTCTATCATCTCCTTGAACTCCTCCTAAAACACAAAGGGAGATACGGCAAGGATCACCTCGATTTCACCTTTCAGGCCTTTGTCATAAGTTACAGAAGTTTTGTACCTGAGCTGGGAACTGTCGAATACTCTCTACAAGGTATTGGTAGGACTTCCAGTCTTTTGCAATAACCTCTCCCATGACAGGAATAACCTGGAAGCTATAGAGATCATAAAGCCTAAACAAAAAGGCAAAAGATTAAGATTAGAACATGCCCCTTGGTGAGAAGCAAGAAGAGCTAAGCCTGGGATCATAAACTCAGGTGCCTAGAGGGTCAAGCAAGTACCTAAAATAAGTGAAGTGGTCCAGGTGCAAGCAAGGTCAGGAGGGAGCAATACGGATGTGGTGACAGGTAGAGTTAGG